GAATTGTCCAACAATACCTGTCAGCGAGGTTTCGACGCCCACATCGACTTCGAGCGAATTTTGGGAGTGCTCGTCGCACTCTTTTCCCTGTGACAGCTAGTCAAAATCGTATAACAATTTTAACTTTGGACATTCAACTCGCGGTAATCACTCCGTCTCCGATACCAGACGGGTCTAATGTCTCTGCTCGACGATCAATACGCGATCTCGTTTTGTATCGCGTTCATCCCGAGGTGCTCGCTAAAATTGCTTTCGTAGAGATTTTCCGCGTTTTGGTATTATAGGCCACTGAGTCAATTTCTAAGTCTGATTCGAGAATCAAGTGTTGTCCAAATTTGTTTTCTTATGTGGGGGCGTGAAACAGAAGAGATTTTTCTTTTTAAATTACCATTTTCGCAGTAATTATAGATTTTTCTATTAAGGGAAATACCGGGATAACACTGGTAATCAATCAAAGAACTTAATTCGAGTTCCTAAAAAATTATATTTTGATCCTGAAAAAGCTTCTGCTTTTTCTACGTCTATGGCTTGCAGAGGGGAGGTCTCAAATATAAATCAAGATGTAAATAAATTAAATAATATTCTTACGTCTTCAATTACCAATGTTGCGAAGGGACTAGGCATTATGAGATCACCGGCGGGTTCTGCGGCCCTCAGGGAGAGACCATGGGTAGATAATGAATGTAAAAAACAAAAAATAAAGGTTTTAGAAACGTTGCGTATAGCAAAAGACATGAATTTTTCTCCTGAATATGTACTCAATTAAATTTGTCTATTTTAATACCGTTTTTAGATGACCCATTTAAGACTGATGAAATTGTTAGGTGTCTTCAATGTTGTAAGGATGGAGGGGCACCTGGGACGGATGGAATAAGCTATGGATTTTATAAGAGTTTGCCACAAAATTGGATTTTATTTGTCGAACATTTTTTTAATAAAATTTTATCTTCAGAAATAATACCTAGTGAATGAGGAAAACTTTACACAACAATAATCTTTAAAAAGGGTTACCCTAATGATCCTGAAAATCACCAGCCGATCACCTTGGTTAATTGTTTACCAAAATAGTTCACGCACATTATTTCTAATCGTCTTGTGTCTTGGGCAACTGAGTTTAATTTGATACCTGAGTCTCAATATGGCTTCAGGAAGGGAAGAGATTGCATGGACACGATTGAGATACACTTAAATAATAAGGACTCGGTCGTTTATGCCACCTTTGTGGATTTTAAGGGTGCCTTTCCATCCGTTTCTCAAAAAATTTTATGGAGAAAGTTGCGCGATCTGGGAATGAGCTCAAAAATAATACATTTTTTTTATTTTTATTTTAAGGCTTTCGTTTGCATCAAGACAAATCAGGGTTATACTGAATATGTGAAGGTATTAGAGGGAGTCCTACAGAAAGAAGTTCTCAGTCAGCTTTTATTTTCGTTTTTTATTAGTGATTTTGAAGATTTCTTCATTGGTAAAAATCTTAAGGAATTTCTATTAACAGTAAACAGGAAATTATTGTTTTGAGATATGAGGACGATTACGTCATCCTCGCGGACTTTCCCATGGATCTGAATAGCAAACTTGAAGCACTTGAAGAATATTGCGACACAAATCAGTTAATAGTTAACACAAAAAAACAAACGTAGTAATTTTCACAAGATCGGGTAATTCATCCGCCAAAAAATTTAAATCCTTTAAATACCGTTCGGAGCGTATAAGGGTGGTAAATGAATATACTTATCTCGGAGTGTAGTATTGATAACGCAGCTCAACAAAAAAACGAAAAATTTTTGCGCCTGGGTTTATATAATGATTTTTCTATTTATTATTCACTAAAATAAAAGAAAAATATACATATTCTTATTAAAGTTTGCTTTTGTAGTAGTGTTACAAACTAGAAAATAAATTTTTGCAACACTAACCTGTAAAATTGAATTGAAAAACTGTGTGTAAAGTTCTACTTTTTATAGCGGTGTGTAAAGTTACAGTAATATTGACAATATTGCTGCAAGTTAAGTTGTTTTAGTGTTGCAAAAAGTTTTGTATGGCACTCGTGCGTATATCAGATTATTCTTGTGTGACTTGCAGCACTTGCCTTCGGCTCAAGCTGCAAACGTCACACTGGTATAATCAACGATTTTTCGCACTTGTATCATAAATAACTATTATTAAATCGAGCTTTTGAGATGGCCCTTTACTTTTTGATTTGGGGAGGCTCCAAGCTGCCAGACTTAAAACTCTGTTTATTTCTGCGGGATCGTTATCCTTCCTTTTAAAATTTTCGCTGCTTCGTGATATTTTTAAATAATTCTTTTTGACTTCTTTTATTTCAGGAGCTTAAAAAAAAGTAAATCAGAATTGACATATTAGATTATAAAATTTATTTTGCAATAATAACAAAAAATACATCAAATTTAACATGACTTCCAAAAGTTTTAGTGGAAGATCTTCATATTCATATATATATCTATATATTAGTATAAAAATTTATTATTAGAACGATACAGACTTACCAATAATCCTTAATCCTACCGACGGGGCCTTATTTCTATTAAGAAACAGGGATCCACGTCGGGCAAAACACAGTATAAAGATCGAAATTTAAGTCGCGCATGCGACCAATTTCTGTTGCGCGAATTTTGTGCGGCTGTCTATTATAGAGATGGTGTGGGCAATACCTATGCAACCGACCGTTTTTAATAACAAAATCAAACCGTACTCATGGGACTACTCGTTATGAAAATGGGGCGGGCAATATTCATGCATCCGGGCGTTTTAAACAACAGAATAAGACCGAAATTGTGTGGCCACTGATGTTTAGACGGCGCGGGCAATATCTAACCGGCTGGTTAGCCGGTTATTTTAATAACAAAATTTCAGAATCATTAACCTGTTAACGCCCAAATGACCAAAATTTTTACTGGGACTTCAATACACGATTTAAAGTATTTATAGCAGGGGCCGACACGGACACGAAAAAAACGAAAATTCGTGTCGTGCCCGTGCCTTGGCTCGACACAAAGTACGTTTGGTAATTCGTGCCGTGCCAAGGCACGACACAAATAAAATTTTTGAAATGTGTTGTGCCAAGGCACGTTTTAAAAGCACGCATGGAATATTGTGTAGAATCTCAAAAGCAATATTTAAGGCACGACATGATTTAATAAGTTTAATTCGTGTCGTGCCTTGGCACGGGCACGAATTACCAAGCAAACTTCGTGTCGTGCCTAGGCACGGCACGAATTACCAAGCGAACTTTGTGTCGTGCCTTGGCACGGCACGAATTACAAATCGTACTTCGTGTCGTGCCAAGGCACGCCACGGGCACGACACGAATTTTTCGTGAAAGTCCCTGATTTATAGACAATAAATTTCAGCAGCAATGAGATGTAGGGAGTTTTTGGGGTCGCTCTTTCAGATTCTGGGGTCAAAATAGCGATTCGATTAACATAAAATCCAATATGGCGGCCATTTTGAAAAAACAACTAAATGTCAATTAACCAAACAGTTTTTGTAGCGTATTGCTATTTACACGAATTTTTATTTTTACGAATCATTATTATTTTTAAACGATATATTTACGCATTGTCACTTTTGCTAAATATAATTTATAAAAATATTTATTTGTCCGAAATGACATTTTTAAGAATTGTCACTTACATCTATAAGCAGCAATTTATAAAATTATGAATTTGCATAATTGATAATTCGGATAAGAGTCTATTCGTGAAAATGTCAATTAATTCAGTCAAATCGCAATTCGCAACAGCAGCGATTCATAAACATCGCAATTCGTAAAAGTAATAATTATTTTAAGCATTTCCTCGAAAAAGCGGAAATTTGTGTCCATGCGTGACTATGATTAAGTAGGCTGTACCTTTTTTCTAATTATTATTAAAGTGAATTTTTTTAATTATGATGCATTAAGAAATATAATAAAATTTTCAATTTAGATTTTAACTTTATAGCACAATGTATCAAAGATATAACGATTTCTGTTTATTTCTTGACATAAATAAATATATATAGATATAGTAAAGTATTGCATTTGTAACCTTATATTATGGTTTCTTTCTGTTTCTAAATTTTTAAATTGTTGTTTTTAAATTTAATTTTAATATTTTACTTAAAAACTATATTTCTATTTAGATAATAAAACTGAATTGGGAATTAATGTCATAGAATTTTTAAAGATTGTAAAATTAATTATAAATTAATTATTTCTAAAGAAAAGTAACATTTAAAGTCATTTTATTTAATTTTTTTTTTAATTCTTTTGAATTAAAGGTACAAATGTATATCTTGAAGATTTATTTGAAAATAAATTTTATTAAACCTAGCATAGTTAAATCATTCAACGTTGAACTTTTCATAATTCGATACCTATTCGTCGTCTGCTAAACAGAAGCACGCCGCTAATATTCACATAAAGTGGAGTTTTCACTTCACCCATCACCCTAACTCAAAAATAGAGCGAATATTTAAATAATAAAGGAAATAATTAAATTGACGAGACTTCTTCGTCACAAAACTCCCTACTAAGACTTGAACTAATTTAACAATTTAGTTTTAGTCTTAAAAAAAGTGATAATTCAAATTTAATTAACATCTGTCATATTAAAATTGAAATTTGAAAAGAAGTTCTCTTTTCACAAACTCACTATTTGGCCGTCTTCTTACCAAATTGTAGTTTTCGCTCTTCCAAAAGTTGTTGAATAGCTAAGTTAATAGTTGCGATAGGTAATCCTTCCATAGAATTCGTTAACTCCTTGATCGCAGTCACTAAGTCCGTGTTCTTGTTCATATCTGGTTCTTCTATTTCTTAAGAAGGCTGTGGACCTGAATTTTGGATAACAACGATGGGAAGTTTGCGGCAACTTTCCTTACTCACATTAGAAATAGTCTTACTTATGTGAGATACAGTACTGTTTTCATCTTCTCCAAGTCGTAATGAAGACACTGATGTCTTATCGCTCGGTGCCGGTGATGGTGTCCTTGGTACTTACCACGCCCTTTCTTCAAAAGCGATACCAGAGACACTTACTCCAAGTTTAACCTCCTTTGTCCAAATAGCGGACAGCAACGGATTTCCTTCTCTATGATGTTGTTTTGGCTTATTTCCCATTATTTCTTCCTGATGATTTTGATTTCGGCTTAATAGATAGGGGAGAGTCTCCAGTTGTGAGACACCTCCAGTTGTGAGACAGTCAATTTTTTTTAACATGCAATATTAAAAAGCCGATTGATTTATACAAAAACATTTCTTTTTATATGAGCCAACTTTTGCATGTGCGCCGATGCCGATATATGAATTGTTTGTGTTAGATCCCAACTCTGTGTGTGAGGATCGACTAAAAAGCGATTTTTCCATAAATGCAAAGTACTTTTTTTCCAAGTTAATTAATTGGAAAAGGTAAATGTAAAGCATTTTCTTTTAGTGTTTTCCTTATATTTTGTGATGCAATATTGCATTATTTCAATCTACGGATAAAAAATTTTTTTTTTTCCTTTTTCAAATTCGCGCCAAGTTCTGGGTGTGAGACGCAGCATGTCACCAGTTGTGAGACGGTGGGGCCATCTATCTGGGATAGCCTATACTTTTTGTTATGAAGCATAAAACGCGCTCTGATCAGTTTAGTTCGTTACGTACATTTGACAGCACAAAAGTTTATCTTTAAAAACTGTTTTGTTAAACCAAAAACTCATAATTTTATTAAGTCGATTCCATTCTCTTTTGAGCAGAATACATTAATCCATTAATTCTGATTGTGAGTTGTGTTTATTGCCTTTGAATCGTCTACAAAACAACATATAACTTCACAGTCACACTATTTGAATGTTGTTTTGATCTTTTTTTTTAATTTTGGACATGTCAAGTGACGAAAAGTCTAGAGAATCAGAAAAAATAAATTTTAATGCTCTTGCTGATGCTGTTAAATTGTGTTTATTGGAAAATAAAAACATCCGATCAACTGCCCGTGAACATAACCTTGATAAAAGTACTTTGCAGCGCTACATTCATAAAGTAAAAGCTCATTTCGGGGATATTTCATTGGTTGAGAAGAATGAATATATGGAATTTATCCAATCTTGCAGCAGAAAAATTCCAACAAATATGGTATGTTTTTCTCTCTTTTACCGTACTTTTCTTCATAATGAGTGTTTCTTAATAACTTTTTTCTATGACAGGTTTTTTCTCTTGAACAAGAAAAACTTCTTGTAGGCTATATCCTAAAATGCGTTAATCATTACTATGGTCTGAGTATTAATGATTTGAAGGAATTGGCGTTCCAGTTTGCAAAAAAACTCGACCTTGATTATCCGCTAATTTGGAATAAATCGTCAGAAGCCGGAAAAAAGTGGTATTATCTTTTTATGAAACGTCATCCGGAACTAAAACTCAGAACACCCGAGCAAACATCTATTCACCGGGTCAAAGCCTTTTGCAAATCGAATGTAGAGGAATTCTTCGAAAATTTGGGCCGGTTGCTAGATAAATTTCACTTTGATAGTACGACTATTTACAACATGGACGAAAGCGGTTTTTCTAATGTTCCCACAAAAATCGGCAAAGTTATCGCCTTAAAAGGAATGAAACGGATTGGTAAAGTGGAGGCTGCCGAACGTGGTACGATGGTGACGATGGCCCTTACAGTCAGTGCCAATGGAAATTCTCTTCCACCGTTATTTTTATTTCCACGAAAGAAAATGCAAACGTACTTTTTGGATAATGTTTCGCCTGGGACTTCTGGATTTGCGAATGAATCTGGTTGGATGACCCAACCAGAGTTCATTCAGTACATTCGACATTTCATTAAATTTGTCAAGCCATCAGTGGATTCACCCGTGCTTTTGTTGATGGACAACCACTCGTCACATTTATCTGTGGACGCACTGGATATAGCGTCAAAAAATGGTGTTCACATTCTCTCATTTCCTCCACACTGTAGCCATAAGCTGCAGCCATTAGATGTGTCGGTTTTCGGACCCACCAAGACTTATTACAAGTCGCTATGTTCTACGTGGCAGAAAAACAATGCCAATAAGGTAAATTTAATTATTAAAGAAATATTCTTTTGTGTTTATTTTAATATTGGAATATCTTATTTTAATTTATTTGGTTTTGATTTTTGTTAATTTGTGATTTACGTTTTTAATAGGTTTTGGAAATACGACATATTGCTGGCATTGTGTGTCAAACATTGGATTTGGCATTGACGCCAAAAACAATCAAAGCGGGTTTCGCTAAAACGGGAATTGCTCCATTCAATCCCAATGTCTTCAGTGATGATGAATATATTGAAGCCGTTCAGCAAAATGCTGCTGCAGTTGCTACAGAGGCTAATCTCAACGAAAATGATCAGCTGCGTATTATTGTTGATCCTTTGAATATTGTTCCTGAAAATATGATTATACCTGAAGCAAGTGAACCATTAGCCAGGAACCAGGAACATCAAATACTATACATGACACTAGCTGTTCATCGGTTATAGATGAAATTGGACCATTGCAAGCCGCTGCTCCCAAAAAGCCGTCGAACCGTGGTCGAAAAGCGATGAAAAGCTGCGAGCTAACTTCATCTGAAAATATTGCTAATTTCAAAGAAAAAGCAGCGAATAAAATAGCAGCAACAACAAAAAAAGCAGAAAGGAAAGTAGAATTAGCAACGAAAAGAGCAGTAGCAGCAGCAAAAAAAGCAGAAAGGAAAGTAGAAGCAGCAACGAAAAGAGCAGCAGCAGCAGCAGAAAAAAAAGAAACAGCAGCAAAAAGAAAGAAGAAAGCAATACCACCAGTTAAGCGCCCCAAAACAAAAATTTCACCGCCATCAGATGATGATGATGATACCGATTTTTGCATACTTTGTTTAAATTTGTTACCAAAGAAATTGACTGCATTTAACTCTGTCAACTGCAACACATGTCATCGTCCTGTTCATTTAAAGTGTGCAAACATGCGCACAAGTTATTTCACTTGCGTACATTGCGATAGCGATTTGGATGAAATATAGACTGATAGTCATATTTTAATATATAAAAATTATTATTTAGTATATAATAATATATATTATTAATATATTTAATTATTTTTACTAAACATAAAGTTTTATGTCAAAGTTATTCAATTTTAGCAATTTTTAACGAGTGTCTCACAACTGGAGACTTTTTTTTTTTTTGACAAAAGCGATGTGCTCCGAAAATGTATCATAAAATTTTTTGAGTTCATCGAATCACTACAGTTTCTTTTAATAAAAGTTGCGTATTTTTGTTACCTTTCAAACGGTGTATTTTATTTACAATTTCGTTTACCCGTTTACAATTTATGGGTCAGAAACGAAACCCGTCTCACAACTGGAGACTCTCAATTAGGTCGATTATGTCCCTTCCTCCAGCAATTATAGCAAGTCCTAGGCGGTGGATCTAATGTAGGGTCTGTTGGAATCGACTCCATATCATTGAAGAATCTTTCCGTTGTTTTTCTCAGTATGGCTCTCCTTGTCAATATCCTGGAAGAAGTAGCATTATCCTTATCGTCAAGTCTGTTAGGTGGACCAGGAGGTGTAATTGATCGTGGTGTATCAATCTCATCCTCATCATTTGGTCTCACTACTTCTTCTCTTTTCAATATGGTCTTCCTATTTTCCACCTCTTCTACTTGTCTCTCCCTGAGCCTTTCGATAGATACAGATGTCTTTGGCTCCAGATTCTTCATAAATCGATCTAGTTCTTGTACGGCTAATCTACTTTCAAATTCTGCCCAGTCTTCATCGTGTCTGCGTTTAGAATTCTCGTCTATAGATAACACCCTTGGTAAATTAGATGGATTAATATCTTCTAGAGTTGCAATTTCCATTTGGGGATTTCCATGTCCTGATGGTTTAGGTTGACGTGGGATTGCTCCAAGTTGTCTGTTTCTCTCTGGTTCTACTATTGGAAAATCAAGCCATGAAGGTGGTGTCGATAAATCAGTCGGATATTGGAATTCTCTTTCCGGGTGATGATTGATTTTTGATCTGCCACGCGTTGTTCCTTTTCGTTGCATTTTCGAGTCAAAATTATAAGGAATTGGACGTCTGTTAAATCTTACACCTCTCCTTCCCTCGTCAATAAAATTCCTCCGATTATCCAGGATAGTATTCGTTTATAGAATTTTGTCTGAGTACTTTCTTTACCCTTGTCAATGGTCAGATGAAATCTACAAATAATAAAAGTAATTAGTAAATTCATACAAAATTTAGACAGGTAAGTATTTTTTAACTCGCAGATATGAATTTTAGGATTTCTACGACTATTATTGGTTTGTAATACAAAAACAGAAGGAGATAATTGTTCAATAATTTCAAATGGGCCTTCGAATTTAGAAGCCAGTTTGGTTGCAAATTTTTGTGTTCCACTTGATAATTTATGAGATTTTCTAAGCACTAAGTCACCGACTTTAAAATTACTTTCATGTCGATTTTTATTATAGTACTCAGTCTGTCTATTTTTCTCCTTGTCAATAAATTTTGTTACTTAGTCACGTAATGCGTCAAGTCTTTTAATCTTGTCAATCCATACTTCAGGTGAAATCCTTTGTACTTTGTCCCTATTCTCAACCTCTCGTCTTAAACTTTTTACTGGTCGAGGATGTCGACCAAAATTCAAAAATGCAGGAGAAGTTTTCGTAGCAGCTTGGGTTGCAGTGTTTACTGCATGTCGAAATTCGTGGACATGCAAATCCCAGTCATGATGATCATTTCCGATAAATGTCGATATCATTGTTTTCAAGGTCCGATTACTTCTTCCTACCGGATTAGCTTGAGGGTTGTAGGGTGGTGTAGTTATATGCTTCACCCCATATTCCTCAAATGTTTCTTTAAGAGTCTTGTTATCATATTCTTTCCCATTGTCAGTCAAGAGGAAGTCTGGTGTCTCCCATCTGAATAGGATCAATTCTTCGAAGGTCTTAGTCACAGATTTTCCGTCTGCAGATCTTAACGGTTTCAATTCGATCCATCTTGAAAACAGGTCTTGAAAAACAACAAAATATTTACATTTGCTTTTACTTGGTGGAAATTCCATCGTGTCAGCTGCAACTACTGCCCATGGTCTTTTAACTATTTTCTGTCCCATCATTCCTACAGGTCCGGCTTGAGACATTTTGTGTAATTGACGTTTTACACAATCAGTCACAAATTTGTGTACGTCATTCCAGATTCCTGGCCAATAGTATTCTCTCGCAACCCTGTCATAAGTCTTCTCCACTCCTAAGTGACCCATAGATGGAATAGAATGAGCATCGTCTAACACCCTTAGTCTATGTTCATCTGGCACAACCAGTTTCCATCCACCTTTATCACCAATAATAGGGAGGAGCAAAGGGTCACTACGATGACGGTATAAAAGGTCATTTTCAATTCTCCAACCAGAAAATCGGCTTGGAAATTTTCTGATCATTTCCCGTCGTCTGATGTACCACTGATTCTCGATAGTCTCGAAAGCATAAATCATTTCGTCATCTTCAGTCATTCTTGATAATGCATCTGAAACTTGGTTTAATGCACCCGTTCTGTGAATAATCTCAAAGTCCCAGTTCTGCATTTTCAAAGCCCATCTTGCGAGTCGTCCAGTTGGATCTTTTAAATTCTTTAACCACTTCAACGCTGAATGGTCAGTAATGTCCTTGAATTTATATCCTTCGATATAAGGTCTCCATCATCAAATTACTGAGTCAGAACGGCGCCAAGGGCATAACTACTTGCATCACACTGGATTGTGAAAGGCAAATTGAAGTCAGGGCGAGCGAGTACTGATGCTTCGTCAATTTCATTTTTAAAGTGTCGAAAGCTTCCTGTTGTTTATCTTCCCATTCCCATGGTCGTCCTTTATGCAGCATCTTAAAAAGTGTCAGTCTGATTTCACTGTCATTTTTGATGAATCTTGAATACCATCCAACCATTCCTAGAAATCTCCTTAGTTGTTTGACATTTGTAGGCGGTGGATAGCTTCGTACTGTTTCATACTTCTCTGGATCTAGTCGTAATCCTTCCTCGTCTAATAAATATCCCAGAATGCGGACTTATGAATATCCAAATTCACACTTGTCAGGATTTACTGCCAGATTTGCTTTCCTAAGTTCCTCTAAAACAAATTCTAACCTTTTTATATGTTCATCAAACTTGTCCGTCACGATGATGATATCGTCAAGATATCCGGACACATAAGGTTCAACTTCTGGTCCAAAAAGAGAGTCAATTAGTCTCTGAAATGTACTTGAAGCATTCACCAGTCCAAAAGGCATTCGGCAGTATTGCCAAAGTCCTGATCCGGGAATAGCAAAAGCTGTATACTTTTTGCTTTCTTGGGATAATAAAATTTGGTGATAGGCTAATGTCAAATCAATTTTTGAGATATATCTTGCTTTTCTCAATTTGTTCAAAATGGAGTCAATGGTCTGTAATAGGTACATGTCCTTTATTGTGACCTTATTCACGTCTCTGAAGTCCAAGCATTGTCGAAAGTCACCATTCCCTCTAGGCGTCAAAACTGGAGCTGTCCTCCAATTGCTGCATGATGGCTCGATTACTTTTTTCCTATACAGTTCTGCTGTATTTTTCTGTGACCAAGTAATCATTATTGACGACATACGTCTTTGTCTGCGTTGGACAGGGGTTTCATCAGTTACCCTGATGTGATGTTCAGTCAAGTTGGTCATTGGTAGTTCTTCTGATGGCGGTAGTACTAATCTTCTCACCAGGTCTTGAATAATATCCTTTTGTTGGTCCGTCAACGCAGAGATACCAGCACATTCAGCATAAATTTCTTCTTCACCTTCGATAACATCCTTGACACAGAATACATGCCAATCACCATCAAAATAATACTCTCCAGAGACCAGGTCCGAGTTGAACTTCCATATTCCAAGTTTTACAAAAGTCAATGTTCAGAATAATGTCTTGTGTAACTGAACTGAGAACTCTAACGTCAAACTGTTTTGAATGTCCGTCAACTGTTATATTCAGTTTTAACAACCCTGCTGTCTCTGTCTTACCACCAATCGCGCTCCTCATTGAGGTATTGCATGGCTGTAGTCGGTTCTTATATGGCTCTGCTACTCTGTCGCTGATCACAGATATCATCGCTCCAAGGTCAAATAAAATGAGTCTTTCTCATTCTTACTCTCTCCTTTATCCCATGTAAATAGTTTGAATGAGTTTTTCTCATTTAATTCTTCAGTCCCTATTCTATAGTCTTTTTAGATGAGTGGTGTTTCCCCACTCTTGTCGTCTACTACGTCGTCACCTATGTCCCAACTGCATGTTGCACCTTGATTAATAGGGAATGAATTTAAACCTTTATTTTGGTCTAATTTATCCCTATTTTTCCCAATTACTGTAAATTTTTCTTTCTCAAAAGAAACTGTAATTATTGGGTCTAAGAAGGGTTGGTGGGGTACAGGAAGTGACTTCGCCCCCATGGGCCGTTTCCCAAAGCGTTTCTCACATTAATACAATTTGGGCAAGTCAAGAAATTTACCCCAGGAGTTTTACAAACTAGACAAATTTCAGTTTGTTTTACTCTATTAGGGAAATGTGTCGCGATATGCCCTGGCTGTTGGCTAGGGTATCCCAAAAAAATGAAAAGTTTTTTTTTATTGGGTCTCATCCCCTAAAAATCTTTCAATTTGAGTAAAAATAAGAACAAAATATTTGTAAATAAAAAATTTTAGGGTCAAAATAAGTGAAACCGGCCACTTGAAAAATTTTTGTCCCCGAATTTAAAGTTATCTATGGTTTTTGATAGAAATATGAGTAAACTTTTACCCGCTAAAATATTTTTCAAAAATTTCATTTATTTTGAAAGTTATCAGGTGTTAAACTTTTAGGTTACTTTTTATTCTTTAAAATATTACTCCGAAACGAATGAAGATAATTTTAATTTTTTTTGGAAATTAAAGCTAAAAGTCTGCAGTTTAAAGTGCAACTGAAAAAATTGCTGTATAATAAAAATTTCTAATTGTTATTACCAATTATTTTAAACAATTGCGATTTAAAGTATGTTCTCAATGTCGGAAAAAAATCAAACTATACTCATGTGATGCGTAAAACTCTAACGAGTAAATTAAAAAAAAAAGTGAGTAACCTCTAAAATTACAGAAGTTATGCATATTTTTCTGACGACGCGCGGGAATTAACTGATTCGAAAACTCTCGAGCGCGCGGGAATACGCCCGCTCCCGCCGCACTGCTCACACTTGTGTTTTCAAACAATTTATGTTTACAGAGAAGGAGAAGTAATTAAAATATTATTTTCTTACTGAATAGTTTATTAATATTTTTACTTTTGGAGTAATTTTATACATAAAAACCATTTTGTATGTACTCATAAACTGCTTTGCAGTTTTTATGCTTTGATAAAAAACTTTTTTCGTGGGTCTGATATTCTTGAATCGTACAAAAATCGAAATCGATATTGTTTGTGTAGAATTTCATCAACAAATTTTTTAAATAATTGGATTTCTAAATAAAATAATTAAATCATTTGTCACTTCTCCAAAATTCAATTTTTATTAGTGTTTTAACTGAAATTTCTTCTATAAATCCGCTATTTTTAATAATTTATTATTTCTTAATAATAAATAATAATTAAATTTTTGCCTGGAATTGTAGGTATTAAAATTATTTTTTAATATAATTGAATTCTCTTAGAAAATTTTATTAAAATAGTAGATTTTGAAAATCATTGAATTGAGGAAAACTTCTGAAAATAACTTATATTCGGAGAAGAATTTTATTATTTATAAAGTTTATTGAAATGTTGACGATAATTAAAAAAAAATTTTATCATAATTGAATTTTTGCAATCATTTGTAAGTTCATCTATTTATGAAAATTGTAAACGCACTCTCTAAATCTGAATTAGTAGAAAGTTACTAATGAAATGGCGAAAAGTCGTGCACCAAATGATTTAGTAATATATTACTAACAAATAGTGAATTTTACTAATTGATTAGTAGAAATTTCAGTTAAAACACTAATAAAAATTGAATTTTGGAGAAGTGACAAATGATTCAATTATTTTATTTAGAAATCCAATTATTTAAAAAAATTTTTGATGAAATTCTACACAAACAATATCGATTTCGATTTTTGTACGATTCAAGAATATTAGACCCACGAAAAAAGTTTTTTATCAAAGCATAAAAACTGCAAAGCAG